TTACGAATTTTTTGAAAAAATATTGAGGGCCTATTCTACGTAAATCCGGCCCCGGAAGACAGACGGTCCTCAATCCAGCTCTCCTTTAGCTTGTTGGAAAGCAGCACCAAACTTGGCCTGCTTTGCTTTTTTTCATTTTAATCCAGTCCCATTTCAAGCTTCAAACTCTGCTTCATTTTCATTTTAATCCATTTTAACCTGCCATACAAATAATTGGGTACTAACTATCACCAAAGAATGAAGAGTTCTGCTAGTTGGAAAACGTGTGGATAGAGGCATACAGCCATACAGCACAACCTTTGTCTTCTCGCTATTGGGCAAAATAGCATCAAAACAACCTAATTCTAACCATCGGAAGGCACTGCTTTGTTGTCCCAATACCAATCATATCATATCAGTAGCTTACAAGCAACGACATCTGATCAAGCACAGCATTGCTGTCCACGTGTCACTTCTAACTTGCCCCACGTGTCTCCTTAAGGTTCCTCAAGTCTCTCCAGAAATAATTGTGCTGAAAATTATCCTAACAAAAATGGGCATAAGATAGAACCAACTAATGTGGAGTCAACTCTCATAGTTTCCCTTGCCCATCACAAATAGTTTTCAATTTTCACACTACATAATTAGCGTTCCACTGAATGCTCAAAGGACGAAATTAGCCTGTCTCACGTATTCAAGTTAATTCACACCTCTAAAATTTATGACTATATATTTGGATAATGTACCAAGGCATCTTGCTGCTTCCTTGTAATCGCTTCTGGTGTTACGTGATCGTGGAAGAGCATGGTTCTCGTGATAAAAAGTGCCTGCACCATAGATAATCATCAACCATCAGAAAAAATAACAGTAAAAATTAGGTTGTACTTGATAATAAAACAATAAAATAAGAGCCATAAAGATAATACGTAACTTCGGGGGTGCAAAATGTGTAACTATGAAATAAGCCTTAACTTGAAGGTTATAATTTTTTAAGATAATTATAGGACTAAAATGTAAAGATCCGAAATTTTGGGGATGTCATGGCCCCCTCATCCTAGAGGGTAGTTCCGCCCGCAGAACTGGTAAGCTACAAGGGCATTTCTGCCACTTCGACAAAATAAATTTTGAGTTTTGGCTCTATCTTCAGTAATCGCCTGCTTCCATAAATAGACGTCACCAGCCAGTATCAGTAAACAAAGGAATCAATCAATCCAGATTCCTAAGCTACTTGTTTTTTCTCCTATTTCTCTACACGTTATTCATGGGTACTAAATACCCCAGGCTCTATTTTTTTGTGTTAATGATCATGGTAGTAGTCAATCAGCTCACAAGTTGCCGCTTTATTCACACCAGAAAGAGTGAAGAATCCGGGAAGACAATCAAGACTGATTTTTCTTCCCACTTCTCATGGAAATTCAGTGAAATGGTTCGAGAGAGATCCAGCAAAGATAAGCCTGACAAAGGTTATCAAGTTTCTCATCGAACAATTCCAGAAGGGCCAAATCCACTTCATAACTGATGATACAAGCATTTCTCGTATTCTTCTAGTTATGCAGACATATAGCAGTTTATAGTGTAAATTTCTTCCTCATTTTCTTTCATCTGTTGGCCAACATGAACATAGAGACAGTAAGAAAGAATGGTTGATTATACCTATTAGGGAAATCATAATTGTTATTCATTGAGTGTTAAAAAAGTAACTGAGCATGTTCGCACACTGGGAAATAATGTTCAAATCTTAGTCTTGCAAATCACCAGAGGATGCTTTTCGGGGTAGGGCTATCACAGCCTCAGTGAAGCTATAAGGCTTTTATATTTTATATTTTCTCTTAACTTGCCGGAGGAAGGTTCAAACTTCAAGCTTCAGCATTTCAACTTCCAAGACTTGGTGTCAAGTCCACAGTACGGACCCATGCTACATCAGCAGCTAAAATATAGATTGTAAACCTATATATACAATACTATTCTGTGAGGAACAAGTTATGCTTTGCTAAAAAAAAAATTCTCAGAGATAACTAGATAACACATAGGAATTTGGATCTGCTAAAGTCATATGACCTCTTACATTGGTTCTAGCCACTGAATAACTTTAGCTATTTTTCCCCAGTAAAATACACCATGCCTTGAGAAGTCAGATGCAGGAATATAGAAGAATGCTCAGTTTAACCTTTTCTTTATTAGTTAGAATGAGGCAAAGCCCAAGAGCAGTCATTTTTTTCTCTCTAAGTCACAATGCACACAATGATCCTAGATGCAACTAGCATGATTTTAATGCAAATAGTCTAACTAATGTGAAATGCAAGGGTTATCTAATATGTGATATTATTACTATTCTGTTCAGGCATAGTCCAATAGTAAACTTGATGTTGCCAACTACAGTTGGACATATGACATGCTAACTTACAGGAAGACAGATCAAGCCACTCACTCACTGGTGCATAACATTGAAATGGAGAAAAACAGGATTAGGAGAGGCATTAACCCTGCAGTATATTGTTTTTCTATCACTACCTTCGAATAATCAGACAGACTAGACAAATCGAACGGTCACAGGAGTGTTGCTCTCTTAAAACGATTTTCCATGGGACAAACAGACAACCTTTTATCGCCACTAGATATAGAAATTCAACATTTTGACGGGGGCAAGGAAGTCAACCTTCTTATCCAAACCATCACATTTCTAGCCCAAAATCTATATGATGCAGGGCACGTCTAAGGAAAGTTTATATGTGGTTGTTTATGGGGTTAGGGCTGTAGAAAATAGTGATTTAGGGACTTCAAAACTGACAAAAGATATAAAAGTACGAGAAAATAAAGAAAAATAGAAACTACTAGCCTCACACTAGTTGATATAAGGAAACACTCCCGAATAAGAACCTAAGCATCACATTTAAGGAATCACTCTTAGGATGTGTTTGATAACCCATTTAAGTAACTTAAAAAATTAAATTAGATTACTTAATATAAAAAAATTTGTTTGATAATTTAAATAATTTTATATTTAAAATTTAAATTCAGTCAAAATCTACTTAATTAGGTAAGTTAAAATTTTTAACTTATTACTTTTTTATTAACATGCTCAATTGAAAGGTTTTTAAAACTTTTTAAATATAACTATATAGCCCTCGTATATTTTTATAATTTTAGCTTTACAAACCAATTGAAAAACGATCTCTACTCTCCCCATTGCTAAAATAGAAGAGACCTTCTCCATTATAAAAACTTTCATCCCTTCACTGCCTAAGATCACACATCCTCCATATCACCATCGGCTTTAGCCATACCCAATCCTCTATCACTCTAATCTCCCTTAGCCGTGAAGCACTATACAAGCAGCTCTATCTCTCCCAACAAACACAACCACACCCACACCCACACCCACAAACCCCATGATTTTGAAATCCATCTCTCTCTCTTGTTTGTTGCTGGATCTTTTGGAAAAATGCAAGCAGAATAAAAGAAAAGTTTTGATTGCTGATTCTTCTGGTGCTTTTAGAACTTTCTATGTTTTTCTGTGGGATATTTGTTGAGGGGATGGTGGTATTTACGGCTGAATATAAGGGTGTGTAGAAATGAGGATGAAAAGGAAGTTTCTTGAGAGATGTAGGCAATAATAGATAGTATTCTTTTAAAAGTGTAATTTAAGTTCCTTCACTTATTGTTTTTAGTTATTTTTATGTTTTATTTGTTTCTGGACTACATATAATATTGCTGCCAATTCATTGGCGGAGAAAATCATCAAAGTTGATTTGCCGCAGAGATCATTTCTATTCTAGGCCTAGCCTAACCAATTAATCATTTACCCGTCCCCTCCCATATTTTCATGTGGCTTTTAATGGTGGATAACTCTTTAATTATATCTGATTCAATATACTGCATTCCTCTGTTCCAAAAAGATTTACAGAACATTTCGTTTCGCAAACTGTGGAAATTGCCAGACATTGTCTTTGATCTGCCATTAGCTTACTCATAAAACTAAATTATAGTATAATACATTAAAATCACATTAATTATATAGGTATAGACTTGTGTCTATTTTTTGTTTTCCTTGCAAAAAAAAGTGAATACTTTCATTTTAAATTGTCGAAAACATTGTCTTTTTTTTTTAATCTAAACATATAAAAACTCATTATATTGGTAACGAAAAAGCTCGTGTGTTAAAAAATATCATGTTACGATTACAAAGTTAAAATTATCATATATATAGCCTTAATATGTTCAGTAACAGTACTTATCAAACAATCTTATTGTATTCAACACTTAATTTTCAGTAAATAACAAACAACTTATCAGCAACATATTCAGTACTTCATTATTCTTAATTATTCAGCACTTAAAATTCGATACTTAACAGATTCAGTATTTAATTTTTAGTTTTATCAAACACCACCTTAGTGAAATAGTCACACACTCAAGAAAAAAAAGCCAAACAGCTGCACTTTTAATCATAACTACTCCATGAAATTGAAACTATAAGCATATTATAGGCTTGAGTTATTCCTAATCCTAATTAGATTCGAATTGCTAAATAAGAAACAAAAATATTTCTATATTGACTAGCTAGAAAATAGTCCTCTTTTACATGAAATTTACTGGAAGTACAACTATCCCCTTGCTTAAATCTCTAGGCTGTGTCACTAAAAAATTTAAATTATGTACAGGTATACTATATTCAAATGCAGCCCCACCAAATGGGGAGGCAAAATGTTAAGTGAGAATCTGTATATTACTTGTAGCAACTATCAGAGGAAGAATCAGAGACAAGGAAATTAAAGTGACTACTAATAAAAATCTGAATAAATAATTAAAAGTAATAGAACGAACAAAGAGTAAGCACAAGTTAGGCTGAAATCATAATGATGAGAATGCTCACCTGAATGCTTGTTCCTAGAAATCAAATCAGTGAGTAGGAAAGCCTTTTTAGACCTCTGCAAGAATTCTATACAGAATACAAGTGCCCTTTCATTCATTCCTCAGCATCTATGAGCAAGAAGACAAATCACAAAAACAGTGTTCGATCACTACATAACCTCCTTGCCCACTGGATCGACGGAGAAATGAATGGGAAGCGTTTTCCTGGTGATCAGCTTGAATTTCGACCTCCACACCTGCTTTCCAAGAAGTTCAGTCTATATCTGATTGATTTCTTCATCAAAGGACATGTTCAACAGAAACAGATTAATTGAAAGACGTTGAGTGTATGAACAAAAAAGAAAAGTTCATTGCCATATTTCGAGTCAATTCAAATTTAATTCTAAAATTAAATCCTATTTTCAACATGCATCTACATGTTCAAACAAATATTAGGTAGCAAGATTAACAATTTGCAAAACTCAAACTCTTCAGCTATAACATCAGAAAACAAAGATTTTTTTTTTACCCAAAAAAAAAGTGCAGGATACTGAAAAATATTCAAGTATAAATTTCAGAGAGTCCGATATTCAAGATAGGACACCAAAGCATCTATAGCCATATGATTGCTAGATAACTTAAGACTGACACTTCAAAGGTGAACAGAAGATGAAAATAAAAATATGCAGCATGTATTGATTAGCCTTCTTACGTCTTTGTATTCAGTGCTACCCACAAATAATTCAAGGGCCTCAGCTGTAAAATATAACAAAAAAAGCAGTCAAAAAAACGGAAGTGGGAATAAATCAGATATTACACGATTTGAAAAAGGACCTACATGAACGAAATCTTGTCACAACTGCATGTGTATATTCTTTGCTGCTGAGATTAAAATTTGAACCTGAACATACACGAGTAGGAAAGAGTACAAATTACAACCTTTAAGCCATATTACAAGAAAATGTATCATGATCCAAGTACGAAAGGTTAACTGAAAATAAATTTAATCAATAGCTGAATCATTAGTCAAACTAACTCCCTAATTAGCCACTGCAATGCATAGGAAACATAACAAGACAGCATGCTTATTACTGACTTAAAAATCCTAAAATGCAATTCTCATTTCAAACACACCTCGAGTAGATTGGACAACTAAGGACGGAAACTCTTTTGCCAACATTTCAAGAGATGCCAATGCATCTTCCACGGATGCACCTAATGCACTGTCATCAAATGCAAATAGATGGACAAACTCCACGCCATAGTTGAACTCCTGTCATGAAAATATATTTCAACTCCATTTCTGAAATAGTTACCAGTTTAAGCCATCAACCAGACACTGAACCATATTGCAAAACCAGAAACAAATGATAATAAAAGAGACTATGTCTTCCACATAGACTGAAAAGGTACAGTTAAAACACCAACAGGCAAAGAGAATGTTTCCATTTCCCTATATATAAGTATTTTATAGCATTCAAACAGATTTTTGGATATTCGAAACCAGTGTGCAAAAGCCAACAGACCATAGCACCAAGAGGTTTTCTATTAATTAAAAGAAATAAATTTCAAACGAATTAACGAGAATCGTAAGAAACATTTGGAAGTATGTGGCTTACCTCTCCTTTACGAAATATATGAAGCATATCATCTTCAACTTCAGATTCATAATCCACATTAACTAAATCCTGCAAAAAAGCAGAAAAAATAATTTAAATAAAAAGCACCTAGTAAGATTATAATTTAGGCAAATTCAGTAGGTAGTTAAAGGAAATACTAGTTGAATTTTAGAGAAAATTAGAGTTATGGTGTTTACATGTCAAGGGCGTACATGGCAATAAGGCATTACATGCTCCTTCAAAACTTTCAAATAGAACGGGTTCTCGTAGAACTTAGCAACATCTTCCTTTGTGTGGAAACGCATGAAAACAGCATGAGTATAATTTTCCACGTTGTCATTGGAGATTCTTCCTGTAGAAGAAGAAAAGAAGACAAGTACACGACATGACTATATGTAAGACAATATTTTACAAGATATGTATGCCAAAGTTTCAGTTTTGAAACAAAGAATGCATATTGTAATTGGATAATGAAAAGGACTTGACCCAAAGAAACTGCAACAATTCCACGCATTTGATATTGGGATGTATACAGATAATCCAGCATATCATTCTCATCTTCATCAGACAAAGCCTGCTTTGCTTTGAGCAGACACACGTGTTCCACAACTTTCCTGCACAAAACAAATAAAACCACATATCCAGAGCCTAGCTACCTTGCATATAAAGAGACCCAGAAAGCAAAAACCAGGAATTTAAAGAGACCCAGAAAGCAAGAACCTCTTTTTCTCCACAGGGAAGCTCGAGCTCTCAATTTTAGAACAAGCCTTAACCTTCATTGTCCAATTCCTCCTCGTATTGAATCCTGAAACTGTATATAACAAATTTTAACAAAATATTGAAATAAACAAGGTCAAAGGCTTCTGGAACTCACCGTCAAAAGAAACATGGCGGGAAGGAGTAGTGGGGTTTTGGCGGCGATAATGGGGAAAGGAAGGGGCGGTCGATGTAAGGGCTTCAAGGGGCATTGTTCTTTGTTTTGAAGATCGAGTTGCTGCTCTAGTGACTGTGCTTTCGGTTTGGTTCGCATTATTAAATTTATTTGTTACCATTTCAAAGCAGGAATGGAATTGTGGTGCTGAAACAATATTTCAAAGCAGGAATGGGTGGACAACGAAAATTTGGTTTTATTTTTCCAGATATCGTGCTCTAATAAAAATTTATATATTTTTTTTAAAAAAAAAATTCGAAATCGAAATTTTTAAGGAGAATAAAACACTTATTCCTCTTCAACCCCATGGATGAAGCACTTACATATGCAGATAGACTCATTTTTTGAAAAATTAACCTATAAAATATGAAATACGGAGATAATATCATGCAATACGGATATATATTCATACACTAGTTTTGTAAAAACTAGAGTATCATACGTTATAGATGTACTATAAAAATAAGTATTTTAATATCTTATTCCGGAAAAGATAAATAATAGGAATAATTATCAGAAAAAATCTTTCAAAAAAATCTTTTATCCAAGTAACTATCAATTTATTTTTAAATCTATCAAATCCAAAATAATATTTTTCTTACCAAAACATCAAATAGTTAACCTACAACCTAACACTAGTTAACTATTAGGTCTTTTGATAAGATAATTTTTTTATTTTTAGGCTTGAAAGATTTAAAAAATAAATTGATGGATTTTTAAAATAGAAAAATTTTTAGAGTTTTTATCTAATAATAAACTCATTTCATAGTTTTTGATGAGTTTGATATTCATTATTTTTTTCATGATCAAGTCAAATTCTTTTTTATTGCATTCGAAAGGAAAAAAAAGTTTTTGAGGTTCTTTGACTTTTAAACAATAACATTCGACTACTATTTTTCTATTATACTAAAAAAATCCTTATATTAGAGTTTCTTTTTTTATCGACCGTTTGTTTCATTAATTAAAAGATTAATTTTACTATCTAGTAACTATAACAACCAATGCAATTTAACTAATTAATATTGATGAATAAGACTCTTGTTATTCTCTTATAATTTAACCAAAGGGTTATCGTACAAATAAGAAAAATAAGAATATATATGATTAAAACATGATCATCTATAATAGAAATATATATCATGAAAAATAATGGTTTCATTTAAACCAAGGATAGTTACCAAAATACCTTCTAAAAAATCTTCTATCTAAAAAATTCATCGTATTATTTTTAAATCTCCAAAACACAAAATAATATTTTTAAATCTCACGAGCCTAAAACAATATTTTTCTTACCAAAATAGCCAATAGTTAACACTAATGTTAACTATTGGTCATTTTAGTAAGAAAAATATTTTTTGAGTTTTGGAGATTTAAAAATAAATTTGTGAGTTTTTAGATAGAAGATTTGTTTTGTAAGGTTTTCCCGATAATTATCCCTAAATAATAATTATCAATTTAGTACTAAAATTAAATACAACGGACTGCATTTAAAAAATAGTAAAATTAGAAATGCACTCGATACTTATTTTTCTTATCCAATCTTTGATCCTTAACTCTATTATCTATATCTATGCTATACTTGTGTAATAAAAATATTGGATTTTGTCTTTGGGTTAACCGAGCAATGACACATATATATAGTTTTTTCTTGTCATTTATTGTCGTGGCTTCCTATTTATAAGACGCATAGCGAGTTAAAAATGATTATGCATTAACCAAAGAATGATAAGAAACGAGATATATTGGTGTTACCCTCTCGTAATTTAGTTAGGTGTCCCTATTATCTCAAGAGTTAATTACAATAACCCATTTAAAGTCATTGAATTACTATTACCGAGACCGTCTAAAAAAATTGAGAATGTGACCAAAAATCCCTTTACTTTTTTCAAAAACTCTCTCTTCTTTATAAGATGAGTATTTTCTCCGATCTCATAGCTATCGTCTAACTTTTTATGTTGTAGAAAAATTGAGTATCCCTAGGTGTTGTTTGGTAATCAAGAATAAAGTGATGGGAATGGAAATGCGGGAATCGAAATGAAAATTAAGGAATCGGAATAGTATTTGTATTCCAATACCGTGTTTGGAATATTAATAAGGAATTGGAATGCAATTTAAATTTTTTAATATCCGATTTTATATATAAATATAAATAATGATTAAAAATAGTTTTATTAAACTATAATAGTTATAAAAAGAATAAAGTTGATGGTAGTGATTGTGGTGGTTCTAGTAGTGGTGATGGTGGTGGTGGTGGCGGTGGCGGTAATGATTACGGTAGTGATGATGGTTGTGGTGGTGGTGGTGGTTGTGATAATGTTAGTAGTAGTAGTAGTGACGGTGGTGGTGGTTGTGATGATGTTAGTAGTGGTGGTGGTGGTGGTTATGATGGTGGTTGCGGTGATAGTGCCATGGTGGTGATGGTTGTAGTTATGGCAATGGTGGCGGTGGTAATGGTAGTGATGGTGATGGTGGTGGTGATGAAGATAGTGGTTGTGGTGGTTGTGATGATGGTGGTGGTTGTGATGGTGGTGGTGGTGGTGATAAAGGTAGCGGTAGTGGTGGTTGTGATGGTGGTGGTGATGAAGATAGTGGTGATGGTGTTTGTGGTTGTGATAGTGGTGTGGTGGTAGTTTGTGGTGATAGTGGCAAAAGTAGTTAATAGATAATAAATAAATAAATATATTATTATTTTGAAAAAAAATTCATTCTCATTCCTTGTTTTTTATTCCCACGTTTTATGTGAAATGAAGTTGTGTGTAAATTTTCATTCTCATTCCCACTTTATTCCTTTTAACCAAATAGCTATAATGTGGGAATAAAACTTTCATTTCCATTCCCATTACTCTATTACTGATTACCAAACAGCACCCTAACATTATACAAAATATTAGGATGATATTAGAGATATTTATGATGAAATAATGAATGTCCATATGTTTTTCATAATCTCACTACTCATAATTTTTAATGTGATTCAATTCATCATTCAATATGAGAAAATTAAAAAAAATGATCTAATTGATTCAACAATTTATGTATTTTTAATGGTTCATAGTCATTTCTAATTCTCATCCTAATATTGAAGTCTATAAATAGGTTTGATTGTTCATTAATTTATGTACAAGCATTTTGTAGAGATTGAGAGATTATTTGGATTTGTGATCTCTTGTATTCATTTTATTTTATAGTACATTCGTTTTTTCATCACATTTCTCTTCAATTCTACTATTATTATCATTTTTTTATAATACGTTATCGGCACGAAACTTTAACCAATCGAGATAATAGACCATGAGGTATGTATCTATCAAAAAACTAATCATTTGTTTCAACCATTGGATTTTTTCTACACAAAGACTCTACCAAAAGATCTAAATTATTTTGGTCATTATGAGGTATGTATCTAATTTATCTTATACTTTAAATCTAATGATACATAAAATATACATTTGAAAAACTTAAATGATATAATATATAGAGTCTAATGATCTAATATATATTGTTTGAAAAGTTTAAATTTTATTATTATATTTGTTTTTATTTCCTAATATTATTATAATACTTTGCATTATAAAATTTTTATGATATCAAACCTCATAAAACTTGATTTTGTGGCCTTTGACATTTTGGGTAAGAATTTGACCACGAGTACTTGATGCCGAGTAAATATTTTCTACTTTTCATGTTTCGGATATGTTCCTACATTAGCATATTGAGAAAACAAGTTTAAGAAATATTATGATTCAATTTTGTACTTACTCGTGGCTAAATAAAATGACAAGCTATTGATGAAAAAGAATAAATCTCGTCTTACTCGAATCTACTCCATTCTCCGAAGTTAATGTGACAACTTATAATAATTTTAGGCATGAAAGAAGATGTGATCATAACCATGGACGTAGTCGGAATAATTATCATTATAATTATGATGACCATAATAATACATCTCTCCACGAGAAGTGGATGAATATTAAAAAAAAAAAACAAAAAAAGAATAAAAATGGATCAAGTAAGCATTCGAAAATGAATGTTATACATGTGGCATGAATGGACATTGGTCGTGCCGTATACCAAAGCACCTCATTAAGCTTTATCAAATCTTATTGAAAAAAAAAGAGTAAAATATAAAGGTCAATTTTATATATCAAAATGGAGGTAATTGAATAATAACTTGTTAGCTTTTCTATTTATAAACAAGATGTTTTATATTTTTTTATAATTTGTATTACATATAGATAGTTATAAATTTATTTTAATATTTATTTATTTGTGTTTATGAAGAATACATTTATTTATCTATTCATTCATTTATTTTATGTTAATATTATATCTAATAATATTCATCTAACGGAAAGCCTTAGAAAAACGATTATATTATTACTCGAAGAGATAAATTTTTGAGGCTCTAGAAAAGCGAATATATTACTTGAAGTGATAACTTTTAAAGGCTTTAGAAAAACGAATATATTACTACTTGAAGTGACATAATGTAAAGGCTCCAAAAGGGCAATTATGTTATTATTTGAAAGGATAAATTTTATTATAAAGGATGTACTATTCTTTCTAATGTCTCATAGAAATTTATTGAGTTTCAAAGATATTCATCTAAATTAATATCATATCAAGACAACAAATATAAAAAATATCGAATACTTATATTATAATTATTATATTGGGCAAAAATATGCATTAAAAAAATTTACCCGTTTTCTCTTTTGGTTTTATTACAAATATTGGAATAATTGAAACAAATGTTATAATAAGCCAGAAGTTTACTAATTCAAATACTTTTATTATGTGACATAACCAATTGTTTTATCCTGTGTCTTTTATGGTGCAAAAAAAATTATTAAAAATTCATATGGACATCTATTAAAGAGCTAGAAGATTCTTCAATTTAATAAATTTTAATGTTTTGTATGTTCTCAAGGCAAATTGATTATCAAGTCATCACCAAGTAAAATTGAGATTGAATCTCTAATATTTGTAGAATGTATTCAATGTGATATATGTGAATCAATTTATCCATCATATGGA